ATGATGATGATGATGATGATGATGATGATGATGATGATGATGAGGATCAGGATGAGGATGTTGATGCTGATGCTGATGCTGATGATGCTGATGATGATGATGAGGAGGAGGTGGAGGAATGAGGAGGGGGACAAGGAGCCCGAATTCGAGGGCCCGGCGGAAAGCTTGGCCTGGCGGCAAGCTTTGCCCTGCAACGTTGGGGCCACTCTGAGTTACGCCGACGCCCGAAGGGCTGATGGTAACGACGACTGGCGCGAAGTGCCTGCGGATAATTCTTGACGCTTTATGGTGTTGGCCAGACTGAATCCCACCGTTTTGGTGCTGCACTTCGCCCGGAAGGACTTCCTGGTGTGCGCCCTTCTGTGAGCGGCAGCGAGGCTCGCCTCCTGTTTGCTTCCCTCCCCGCTTGGTCTTGTCTCTTTTCGCTCCTCCTTCTCTCTGTGCGCGAATTTAGGCCGTTGCCCGGGTGCGTCACCTTTTCGCCGCGGTCGCGACCAAAAAGTATTCCCACCAGCCCTTCCAGCAACGATGCCCTGGCGACTTGGTTTGGTCAGGGGAACTGGGGGGGCATACGGCGGAACAAAACAGCCGATCCTGTCGACGTGTGTAAGAGGGTTTTCCATTTGAGTCGTCGTCGTCGTCGCCGCTCTTTCTCCAGCGTGCCAGCCAGAGGGGCATCGAGCAACGTCGTAATCGAGTCGAAGGGAAGCTCCTTCCCTTTGATTCTTCCCCCGCCAGGAGGGGTGGGGCGGTCCCAGGGGTGGAGCGCCTTCGAGGGGCAGCTCGAGCTCCGCTCGAGTGGCCCTCTGGGCCAAGCAGCAGTGTTGCCATACAGATGCGTCGCCAAGACGACGCTTACGTAGAAGCCTTCGTGGCACTACTTGGTGTTACAAGTTGACTTCCTAGAGCAGCCGTCAGCCTTACCACCCTCCTCCTCGTCCTCCTTCTCCTCATCCTCCTCCCAGAGAGGAGGATGAGGAGGGAGTCCCTGCTCATCGATGCGCAGGGAGCAGAGAGTCCCTTTTCATCGACACATACCTACACGACCACCCCTCGGGTGACAATGAGGTTGCGAAAGGGGGGGGGGGGGGGGGAGGGGGGGGAACCAACCAACATCTGACTCAATCGATCCCACTATCGATCTCACTCAACGGGACACCACGGGACACCACGGGACACCACGGAACAACACTGGACATTTGTCGATCTCACTATCGATCTCACGATCGATCTCATTCAACGGGACACCACGGGACACCACGGGCCACCACGGGACACCATGGGACACCGCGGGACACCTCTCGATCTCATTGTCGGTCTCATTATCGATGTCATTATCGATCTCCATCAACGGGACACCACGGAACACCACAAGACATTACGGGACACCACGGGACACCATCACTATCGATTTCACTATCGTTCTCCATCAACGGGACACCACGGGACACCACGGATGCATGCCGATTTCACGATCGATCTCTTACCGATGTCATTTTTTTGGGACACCACGGGACACCACGGGACACCTCGGGGCACCACGTCGATCCCAGTATCGATCTCAGTATCGATATCACTATCGATCTCATTCAACGGGACACTACGGGACACCACGGGACACCACGGGACACCTGTCGATCTCACCATGGATCTCGCCATCGATCTCATATATTGGGACACCACGGGGCAATTCGGGGCACCACATTGGTTTCAGTATCGAATGCAGTATCGATCTCGCTCGCGATCTCATTGATTGCACTATCGATCTCATTCAGCAGGACACCACGGGACACCACGGGACACCACGGGACACCACGGGACACCGCGGAACACCGCGGGACACCGCCGGACGGACGGACGGACGGACGGGCGGGCGCGGGATAATCATTTGTCTTGAGTTCGCCCTAGCAGCGGCGGACAAAACGGGACACCACGGGACACCACGGGACACCGCGGGACACCGCGGGACACCGCGAGCCACCGCTGGACGGACGGTCGGACGGGGGATAATCATTTGTCTTGACTTCGCCCTAGCAGCGGCGGACACCACGGGAAACCACGGGACACCACGGGCCACCGCGGGACACCGCTAGGGCCACCGCTGGACGGACGGACGGACGGACGGGGGATAATCATTTGTCTTGACTTCGCCCTAGCAGCGGCGGGTTCATTCCTCTCGCGCGCCCACGCAGCTTCGCCTCGCCCGCACGCACGACACGAACGAAACGAAACGATTTCCCGATTGGGGGTCTCCGTTCAACTGCGATATCACCCCCAAATCTATGAGTTTGTAAGCATGGCCCTTGGTATTGATCCGTTGCACACAGTCTACAATTCGATTCGGTACAGGCCTGATTCGCTCGCTGGTCTGGTCAGGGCTCGTGCAGCTGCCATTCTCGTGCTGCACTTGCTCGGGGCCTCCCTCCTCCCTTGCTGAGTGGGACTCGTCCTCCTCCCTGCGCTGTGCCCTTCCCTCCCCCCTCGCCCGTCCCCTGGGAAGGCGGCCGCCAGGGCGGGCCGCGCGCCGAAGCTGCGCGTGGAGGCCCAGCTGCTGCTGGACCAGTGGCACGAGCAGGCGCCCTTCGCAGTCGTCATCGGAAGCCCTTCGGAGGTCCTTCGGAGGCCCTTCGGAGGCCCTCGGAAAGCCCACTCTGCCTGCCTTTGGAGGCCTTCGGAGAGCCCTCGGAGGGCCTCTCGGAAGCATCCGAGGGCCGTCGGAGGCCCTCGGAGGCCCCGTTTCCTCGGAGGGCCCTCGGAGGGCCGTCGGAGGGCCCTTCGGCGGCGGCCCTTTGGCGGCCCTCGGCGGCTCGCGCGGCGGCTCGGGCGGCGGTGGAGGCGGCGGCGTAGTCGTCGTCTTCGTCGTCGTTGTTTGCCGAGGGGCGAGGGTCTTGGGTGTGCGTGTGGATTGACACGCGTGCAACGGAGAGCGAACAGTCTTACCTTGGTTGTTGTTGAACTCTGTCTGACTTCTGAAGAAGGGTTGTTGACCCCCCACTGGTGCCCAATGTTCGTTGTCAATAGACAGGCCCCACCAGGGCTCGCATCCTGCTTCTGGATCAGGGGAAGTCTTGATGTTCTATTGCGTTGTTGGCCCCAGGGCTACAACAACAACGGCTCCCGCCTGAGACTGCCAAGTTGCTCAGGAATCGTGCTCTCGCGCGAGACTGCCTTACAGTATACTGAGAAATGGCGCCCTCGCCTAGGACATTCGAGAATCTACCAAGGCGCTGCGCTCTCGGCGCTCAGAAATCGAGCTCTCGCAGAGTGTTTTTGTACAACATCCTCGTGGGCCTCAGACTGCGTTGTTGACCTCCGGGGTACAGACGCAACAATGTCTCTCGCCTGAGGCCTCCCCACTCCCCGCAACTTATGATGCAGGAATCGCGCTTTCGCTTGAGACTTCCTTGCGACTTGCCTTGCAATCGCGCTCTCGCCTGGGATCCCCGTGCAGCTTTATTAGGATTCGCGCTCTCGCCGCTCTGGAGTCGAGCTCTCGCCAAAGATTTTCTTGCAATTTGCTTGGGAATCGCGTTCTCGCCTGAGAGTGGCTCCTCGCCTGAGAATCGCGGTGTGGCGCTCTCGCTTGCATCGCTATGCACCACCCCGCCCGCTCGACCCGCCCTTTTCGGGCCCGCTCGCCAGACCAGCTCGACCCGCCCGCCATGGTTTGCCGGCCGGACCCGACCCGCCCGCTTGAATGTCTTGCCCGCCCCTCAAAGGCCTGCGCGTCCGCAACAGAAGAGGGCGGGAGTCGATGGCTTGGGGTCTACCTGTTGCGTGGCACGCGGGCAATCGATAGCGATCATTCTTCACTTGTTTACCTTATGTGTTGTTACTGTCGTCGTCGTCGTCGTCGTCGTCGTCGTCTCCTCCGGGGGGTGGTGATTCTGTTGCTGCTGATGATGATGAAGGTGATGGTAATGGTGACGATATTGGTAAGATGGATACTGATGCTGCTGATGATGCTATGCTGATGCTGATGCTGGTGCTGCTGTTGATGATTGTGTGGATGATGAGGATGAGGATGAGTATGATGATGCGGGTGATGATGAAGATGCTGATGCTGATGATGCTGATGATGATGATGATGATGATGATGATGATGGAGGTGGTGGTGGTTGTGGTGGTGCTGATGAGAATGATGACACTACTGATGATGGTGATGCTGCTGCTGCTGATGATGCTGATTCTTGGTGGTGATGGTGAGGTTGACGATGCTGATGATTCTGATTACGACGATGGTGATGCCGATGGTGTTGTTGCCGATGGTGAAGCTGATGAGGATGAGGACGTTGATGAGGATGATGATGGGGATGTCGATTATGACGGCGACGATTATGACGACGACGATGGTGGTGATGAGGATGCGGATGATGATAAGGATGATGATGGTGATGATGTTGGTGCTGGTGCTGATGCTTATGATTATGATGATGAGGATGATGACGCTGATGATGATGCTGATGATGATCATGCTGTGGTTGATGATTATGCTGCTCATGATATTGATAGTGAAGAGGGTGGTGATGGGGATGCTAACGATAATGCCGATGGCAACGATGATTATGATTATGGTGATGATGACGATGCTGATGATGATGATGAGGATGATGATGATGATGATGATGATGCTGATGCTGATGTCAACGATGATACTGATGATACTGATGCTGATGGTTGTGATGGTGATCATAATAACGCTGGCGGCGACGATGATTCTGATTACGCTGATGCTGATGAGGATAGTGATGCTGATGCTGATGATGCTGATGATGCTGATGATGATGACGTTGTTGTTGTTGTTGTTGTTGTTGTTGGCGATGATGATGAGGATTATGAGGATGCTGATTCTGATTCTGTTTATGCTGGTGGTGGCAGTGATGCTGGCGGCTGGTGATTGACGAGTGTGGTGGTGATGAGACGGGGGAGGATGAGGGCGGCGGAGGAGGAGGAGGAGAAGGAGAAGGAGGAGGAGGAGAAGGAGGATGTCGGAGGAGGAGGATGAGGAGGAGGAGGAGGAACAGACACGACAAGACAAGACATCCTCGGATCTATGAAGTGCAGCCTGACTGCAAGCACACGTGCTGACATGTTCACACCGTGCAAGAGAAGCAAAAGGCTGGATCTGGGTGGCCTGCAGCTGCGCACTGCTCGCCCGCTCCGCAGGTGGGGGGCACACTCTGGCCACAGGCCCGCCCAGGCGGTGCCGTCCGCTCGAGGGGAGCCCTGGCACTGCCCTCCGGGGGCACCCCAACATGCTCATGCTATATGTGCGTCACCCCAACATACTTATACTATATGTGCGTCGCCCCCCCAGGGGCGACGCGCGCACCGAGAAATCTTACAGTATATGCGTCTTGGCAAGCGCTTTCTGGCCACACCGCTGGGGAAACGATGTGCTAGAAGATGGGTATACTACATGTTGAGGTCGGACGCGCGCCTCCACGGAGAACATATAGCACTAGTATGTTTATGCGCGTCCCATAGAAGGTGAAACCCGCCCCCAGGACAAGCTAAGAGCCAGGGCCCTGGGAAGGAAGGCCGGGGTTCGAGGCCGAGGAGGAGGAGGGCCCAGAGGGCCCCGTCCGATTCGCTCCAGCCAGTCCTGGGGGGCTTTGCCCTGAGCTGTGCTACAACACCCTACCCTTATCCCGCGGAACACCTTGGTGCAAGAACCGATCCTCGTCCACTGTCTTCGCCACAGACTAACGGCTCGAGAACCCTACGAGCTCGCAGTTCCCCAAAAACGGCGGCAACCCAAGAAAGCTGGCGGAACGACGGCGCTAGCCTCACCCTTCGGATTCACAACATCCCCACCCGCAGGACGAGGAAGAGGCGCGGCAGCAGCTTTCACTTCTGCAACCTGTCCAGCAGACGAGCCGCATCCAGTTCGAATTATCATTTCGGTGCAGCCCCATGTTTGCGCACCGCCCCAGTTGCCTTCAGATACATCTCTATACCTAGCTCCAAGGACCGATACAGAGCGTCGACGGCGAGTGTGATTCGATACATCTCTGGCTTGTTTTCGATCTTTTGTGTTGGGCGGATTCAGCTCCCGACTCCACCGCTCCTCCAGCTTCCTCCTGGCCTCTGACGGGCACTTCGGGTCCGTGCCCGTCGCCTAAATCAGAGCGCTCCACACGTGCAGGAAGGGTGGGCCCGGGGCGCCAGGCGTCGGCCGCCGGCCGCGCCTCTTTTGCACTGCTGCTGCTGCTTTTGCTTCTCCTCTTGCTCTCCCCCCCCTTGCTGCTCTCCTCTCTCCTCCTTAGCCACGGGGCGACCTTCTCGCGCAAGTAAAAAGAAACAGGAAGGGTGGGCCCAGATCCTGCCTCGTGCCTGCCTCCGACGTCTGCCGAGCTTTGGCACGGTACGCTGCTCCTGCTCCCTCGACTGCGCGGGCGGCGGGGGCTCGGCGCGTCGATCGGTCGGGTCTTGAAACACGACCCCGCACGCCTCGCACCGCTCCGCTGTACACCTTAGGCGATGCTCAAGAAAACCTAAGTTTTCGTCCAGAGTCTCGATTGTTCTTAACTTTTCAATGTAGATCCCAAGATTTTGAGAGAAGTTCTGGGTTTTATTCAATTTCTGAGACTATGAATTTCTTAACCCATGATTTCTTAAGCATTTCGCAGGGTGTACTGCTCAACGCCAACTTGGTCAAACTCACGTTCAACTGCTCGAGAATCGCGTTCGTCCCTCCTGTGCTGGCCGACTGTGAAGCTCGGTCCACCAGAGCCTCTGCTGCGTCTCCTGGGCGCCCGGTCTTCTGCCGCGGCCCCCCGCCTTTCAGCATCCAGGACGGCTTCGCCTCCATGGGGCGGTGGCGCACGAGGGACTATCTCAAGGTGCGTGCACAGGTGCTGTTGCAAATGCTCGAGCAGTTCAGCTACCTACGGGCTCAGTGGGCAAGCGAGCAACGACGGCACATGAATTTCAGAAAGATTGCGTATAGCATCGGCAGCACACTCTCCTCGTCGAAGGCTTCGCGAAAGATGCCAACGACAACTCTCACGATCCGCAAAGACTAGACCAAAGACACAACATTGGTTCGACACGGACATGACGTGTGCAAGCTCTTGGAATCCGTGACGTGCTATGATGTGTGTGTGCTGCACGTCGATCCCGTAAGATACGCCCACATACTTCCCTAGTAGATAAGCACCCTCAACGACCTCATCCTGGATCATCCCTGAAACCTTCTCCGCATCCAAATGCTCGACGGGGGGACCTGGACATCGAGACGTTGCGATCGAAGCTGTCGGGGGTCGATCCTGCAGAACTCCTCGCTCAACTCGGAATTCGAAAAGGCGAGAAAAACTCTGTTGTCCAGGCGCTCGATGTAGGACGGCCCATCATCTAAATCGGCCAGGGAGTGAACATCAGCACGTAGTTGACGGGCCCACGGAGAGGCCCATCTCGTCAGTCCCCCGTCAGGGACCAGCACAGGCTGAGCAATTTCAAAGTGCCCGAAGAGTGCGGTGAGAACTTGTTGATTGGCCAGCGGTGCTCGTGACAAGGACTGCCAAAGACGCAGACGGCGAATGGTCAACGGCACGAGTCGCCACCATCGGAGCACAGCAGCAGAGGTCATAGACTTCGGGTGCCCTGGAGCCTCTCTATCACACGCCCTCCCTTCCATCGCCCTTCTAGCGCACCCTGCTACCATAGTTTTCAGCTTAGCTAATTCTGGTTGGCTAGGTATAGTGCCTTCCAGGCCAGAAGGAGCAGCATTGTATAGTTTCGAGATCAAAGTGCAGCGGCGAAGCCGATGAGGTATGCCATGCACACTCCAGAAGCCTCCAAGCGAATACCAGGTCGGGCCCAAGCCCCGTCGCCTTCGAAGGCATAATAGACCCAAGACTCTTGATTTCCAGCGAAGCCGCACCAGGAAACGTAATGGGACCATCCCGAACTTCCCTAAGATCAGCGGCAGCCCCAGGACCTCGCAGTGACAGGAGCGTGTCCTGTTTCGTGAGATTCTGCTTAAACCCTCGCGGCTGCAAGGCAGCGTCCAGCTTCTGATTGGATCTCACACTTTTGTTGACTCAGCTCATCGCGCTCCTGCCAGCAAGCTTCTTTGTCAAATCATCGGCGTACTTCGTAAGTGGGCTATGCACAGGCCGTCGAGTAATCGGGCAGCGTGCATGCATTAAACACGAGAGCGGGTCCCACTGACGCTGTAGGTCACTCCACATATTTACGGCAGGCAGGCAAGTCTGCACGAACGTGTTCACGGCGAGTCGGTCGCCCATGAGCCCACCACATCATGGTTGCAACATCACATCCTAATCACTCCCGTTGAGGATCGTCATAGCACAATCCATTCGCTGAACCCCATATCCTCTATCCTGTTCACGAAAAAGATCGGACGTTGCCGCCCGCATGCGCTACCTATCACTGGATGCGAACGCATTCGTGAGGTCATGAGCGTTGGTGATGTATGAGGAGAGCCCGCGCTGCTCAAGCCACCAGCCCGTTGTGTTCTGGACTATGAGTGCTCCCTCCCTCCTCCTGTGTTGCAAGAAACCGTGATCCCGGACCGAGGCCCGGAGGAGTCCCCGGTGCCTCATCGGCCCAGCCACCCACGCCGTCCCAAACGGATCGAGCAGATGTATCCGCCTAGACTTCCCATCCGGGCGAGGAGGCGGCACCCCTCGACTCGCATGCCAGCGAAGAGGAGCACAATGACAGTGTCGCACGAGCGACAACGCACGCAGCAGCAGCTCCTGTCCGTAACTCATACCTGGAACAGCTTCAGACATCCCGAGACATTCCCCACGATAGACCAAATTTCCCAGGATGCAGTAACCTCCACCAGAGCTTCAAGGGGGGACACCACTCAGGAACAGCACGACGTTTTCCTGCTTTATTGATGGCATACTTCAGAAACTTGTAATCCCGCTGGGCCTGATAAACCTCGGCCTCCGAAGAGCTCGGACCTCGGAGAGCTCCTCGTAAAACCTCCTCCTTCCAGTCGTCTCAGGACTCGACCACCTGACTCTCCATCCCGCCTTCATTCCCTTCCTTCGAAAACTGGGCCACTAAACTGGAAACATCCTCCACCACTCCTCGAACTGCTCGATAGTCTCGGTTCTTGGGGCCCCACCGAGACCCTGCAAGTCGCCTAGCAATCCTCGAAGCCTCGGCCAAGCGCCAAGCCCTCCAATGTTCCTGGAGTTCAGCAACTAGGTCCTGCTGCACGTGTAGCCGCTCCTGCCGTCCTAGCGCACGATTGCGCTTAGGCAGACCACGCAGCTGTGCAGCAAGGCTCTCCTCCTCCTCCTCCGCGGTCGTCCCCTCCAGCCGGCGTCGAAGCCGAAATCATTCAGCCAGAAGTTCTTCACGTGCTTGGCGAAGACCCTACCGTTCATCACTAGCGAAACAAGCCTCCGTGAAAATATAATGCCCCACTTCAATCATAATCGAATTCATGTGATCAAAGAACGAGTCCGCCGTCGCCGATGCCAAATCCTCTTCCAACGAAACACCTTCTGCCTGCAGTCGTGTACACAGTGCTTCCAGAAACTCCCGCCGACGAGCACCGCCCCGAACACATCTCATGATGAAGCCAAAGTTCCAGAGCGGCCTCTTCCTCTGCTTCTCCTCGGAGCCAGCAGGCGCCAGCACACATGGAAACACATACCTGCACCACCAGACGATCACACGGCCGAGCCTTCGGGATGATCTGGAGATCTCTGCTCAGCCCGCGCAAGGGTCCCGCCGCCTTCATCATCTGCACCAGTGGCCGAGGTATGCACACAGGGCCGATCCGCGACGCATGCCCAGTCCTTGAGCAGAAAGTCGGCGCCTACCCTCGAGATGTGTTGGCAGTCTGCAGATCATGCTCCGCCAGGATGGGCCCCATCAAAGCCCCAGAATAAGGAGCCGCAGAAGCCGTCCCACTCGGAACCGCATTCAGATTGTCGTCAATCTATCTGCCGCCGTCATCTCTTATTCTGCCTAGCCCGTCGTTCAAACCACAACAAATAATCGGCGTCGTCCGAGACGGCAGCGAGGCAAGACATGTAGCGATCCACGCCGCCAAACGATCACAAGTGGTACGGTAACAATCCTGAGCCTCAAGCTCTCTCGGCCGCGCCAGGAAATAAGCAGCAACCACAGTCACGTCCATCAGTCCGTTCTTAGCACGTGTAAGCAATCCTCGTCCTCGAATCGAGTCAGGGGCAGGCGTCACCTGAACAATCTGCTCTGCCTTGATCTTTCCACCCCATATAATATTGCATCCACACGCAGTGGTAACATACGGAGACGACACAAAGCCAGCTTCGATACACAAACGCTTGACGTTGCGTGCTTCGCCAGCCTCGATCATTCTCCTCCTGACAGTCGTGCCTGTCATCGCCCGTTGTTTAGTTCCGACAACTGCCACCGCATCGAAGTGTGCCATTCTCCGAGCAATATCCTCAACCCTGTCCAGCGTGTTGGCGGAGATGGGGTTGTAACTTCCAACTCTGAGATCGAACATCACCACTCGACACAGCAGCCAACAGCGGAGAAATATCAAGGTTCCACGTGGTGCATGGTAAGTGAGTGTGCCGCTATATCAACAGACGCGCCCCGCGGTGTCGCACCTGTGCCCAGGGGCTGAAGAGGAGGAGGAGAAGGAGAAGGAGAAGGAGGAGGAGGAGGAGGAGGAGGAGGAGGAGGAGGAGGAGGAGGAGGACGGAGGAGGACGGAGGAGGAGGAGGAGGAGGAGGAGGAGGAGGAGGAGGAGGAGGAGGAGGAAGAGGAGGTGGAGGTGCTCCTTCAATTATGGATTCTTGGCGGAGGGAAGCCTTCTGAAGTCCCAGCAAGTGCCGAAGGGTATCAACAAGTTTTACCTCTTTATCCTCAATGATCCTTATCTTTCCGCGCTCGCGCGAGCCCCTTCCGTTCGCCAGGTGGCCTCGCGGGCCATTCTCAACATCTAGTTGCGCAATGGGGGAGGGTGGGATTGGACGGGACCAGCTGGCTCGCTCGTGCTGGCTATTTTTTTGTATGTTTTTTTGGTTTGCGAACAAAGCACGAACAATAATCTGGTGCAAGCTTTTCGTCCCAGACTTGTTTCTGATGGCCCTGTGGTCCGAAAGCTGTACCGAAGCCGAAATTTGGGAAGAGCGCCGCGGTTGAGAAAATACATCCGCCCGAGGTCTGGACTTCAGAGCTCTCCGGAGGTCTTCGGAGGTCACCGAAATTGTCTCGGAGGTCTTCGGAGGTGTCTCGGGGCTCTCCAGAGAACTCCAGAGGTCTTTCGGAGGCCTCCGAGGGAGCGGAAACGTCCTCAACCCTTCACCCTCGATCCTTAAACCTGGATCTTCGAGTCTCGATCCTCGCTCCCCGATCCTCGGCCCCCGATCCTCGATTCCTCCCCGAAGATGCCAGCCATCCAGCGGTCCAGGGTTCCCGCTCTTGCCCCGCATGCCCCTGCAGGAGCGCCGCAGCCAGAGGGAGGAGCGCCTCCTGGAGAGGCTCCACAGGCAGCTCTCCGAGGCAGCCGGGCTGACGGCGCCAGCGTCCAAGGCCCCCCCCTCTTTTCTCTCTCCTCTTTGCTCCTCCTCCTTCTCCTCCGCCTCCTCTCTCATCCGCCTCCTCCTCCTCCTCCTCCTCCTCCTCCCCTCCCTCCCTCCTCCTCCCTCCTCCTCCTCCTCCTCCTCCTCCTCCTCCTCCTCCCTCCTCCTCTCTGCTCCTCTCTCTTCATCTCTCCTTTGCCCTTCCTCCTCTTTGCTCCCCCTCCTCTCTCCTCCTCTCCTCCTCTCCGCCTCTCTCTCTTCCTCCTCCTCTCTGCTCCTTTCTCCTCCTCCTCTCCTTCCCTTCGTCCTCCTCTTGCTCTCCTCCTCCTCTCTCCCCCTCCTCCTCCTCCTCCTCCTCCCTCCCTCCTCCTCCCTCCCCTCCTCTCCCTCCCTCCCTCCCTCCCTCCCTCCCGCACGCCCCACGCCCGCCCGCCCGCCCGCCCCCCTCCCGCCCGCCGCCCTCCTCCTCCTCTCTCGTCCTCTCTTCACTCCTACTTCTCCTCCTCCTCCTCTTCTTCCTCTCCTCCTCCCTCTCCTCCTCCTCCTCCTCCTCCTCCTCCGCCTCCTTCTCCTCTCCTCCTCTCCTCCTTCTCCTCCTTATCCTCCTCATTCCTCTCCTCCTTCACTCCTCCTGTTCCCCCTATTTCGCCTAGCTTGACAATGCTCCACCCTCCTTCTTCTTCTTTCCCTCTTCCTCCTCCCGTCCTCCTCCTCCCTCCTCCTCCTCCTCCTTCGCCTTCTGTTTTGTTGTTCCTCTCTCTCTCTCTCTTTCTTCCTCTCTCTCTCTCTCTCTTCATCTTGGCTCCTCTCTCCTCGTACTTCCTCCTCCTTCCCCTCCTTCCCCCTCCTCCTCCCCTCCTTCCCTCCTCCTTTCCTCCTCCTTTCCTCCTCCTTTCCTCCTCCTTTCCTCCGCCTCCTGCTCGCTCCTTCGCCTCCTGCTTGCTCGCTCCTGGTCTCGGAGAGTTGGGGGGCTTCCTCCGGGTCGTCTTCTGGGGGGGCAGCCGCGAGGGCCCTCGCGGTACTCTCGGGGCCCTCCTGGGGCATCCCAGCGTCCTCTCCGCGGGACAAGAGCTCCTCCTCCTCCTCCTCCTCCTCCTCCTCCTCCTCCTCCTCAGCCTCATCCTACGCCTCCTCCTGCCATCCTCCTCCTCCCATTCTCCTCCTCCTCCTCCTCCTCCTCCTCCTCCTCCTCCTGCTAGGCAGGGGGGGAGGCGACGGTGGGGGGGGGGCAGCACAGCGTCAAGGTGCACCACGTGTGCAGGATGGTTCTACGAGGCGCTCCAATCAAGTCCTTGCCTTCGAGGATCGAATGAGTTGCCATCTCTTCCTCGGCGGAAGGCCGCGGAAGGGTGGTGGAAGCCGGCGGAAGTAAAGCGGGGCCAATTCCGCCGGCGGAAACTGGCGGACGGCCAGCGGAGGCCAGCTGAAGTCAAAAGTTGCCCTCCAAGAGATGGCAACATTTTTGGTCTCAGTGTTTTCGGAACCCGCCAGGTGTGCAGGATGGTCCTGTAACGGTTCCACCGCTGTTCTGCCATGCTCGGCGGGGACTGCGGGCCTCTCGAGGAGGGAGGGCTTCCGAGAGTCTCTCGGAGGCCTTTTTGGGGGTCTCGGGGGAGCAGCTCGGGCGCCCCCGGGGCGGGCTCTGATGGCCGCGGGGCCGTCTGAACGGGTTCTGCAGTTCCTCGGGGTGTCCTTGGGCCGTCTGTCTTCGGGCTCTCGCTGGACCATCTTCGGCCTCCCAGGGGCTCGTGGTTCAAGAGAGGCCTTGTGGAGTCGTCTCGGATCTCTCGGAAGCTTGCTTCAAGCTATCTTGGGCCGAACTTCTGAGGAGCCCCAGGTGCACGGACAATCTTGCACTCTTCGATGTCTTGGGCTTGCCGACCGCGTGCTGGAGGGATCGCCGGAGCGCTTCCAGAAGCCTCCTGGGTTCTCTGGGGCCCTCGCGGCTCCACGCGGCATGGAGACGAGCGGTCAAGACGCCAAGGCGAGAGCCGCATTTTGAAAGAGGCCGTCTCTAATAGGGGGGGAGGGATGAAGGCTGAGGAGCAGGACCACGACAAGGGCGTCACCGTCGCCGACACTGGCACAGACGATGGCGACCGCGACGCCGACTCCGACGACGACGGGGTCGCCGCCGCCGACGGCAACGACGACGACACTGGCCGACGCCGACGCCGAAGCCACCGCCGAAGCCGAGGCCGAGGCCGTCGACGCCGCCGCCGCCGCCGGGAACGGCGGGGGCGGCGGCCCTGAAGTCCGATGTCGCGGCAAATTGCAACACCGCGACGGATTGTGGGTGGAGCCCTAGGGCCCCTCTTTCTTTGGACGCGAGTTGATGGGGTGGCGATGCATAGGGGGAAGAAAGGTGTCAAGAGGGAACAAACAACACAGACAACATTAATCGTCGATCCCCAGGAGAATATGGGAAAATATGGGGAGTGGGGGGAGGACGAACACCCAGAAAATACGGGAAAATATGGGGAATCCTATTATTTGTGTGAATGTATTTGTGTGTCCTTGGGCCCCTTCAAGGTGTCCTTTTCGGGACGGAAGGTCCCCTCTGAGGCCCTAAGGGGCCTTTTGGGTCTCCTTTTCTGCAGCCCTCGCTGCACCCCCAATGTCCCCCCCCAATTAATTCGCGCCCACTTTCTGCGGCATCTTCCGAGCCGCATCGGTCCGCCGGGGGGCCCCAGGGGTCCCACACCAGGCGACACCGCCCAGCGTGAAAAAGCTGCGACGCCCAGCTCTCAGGGGACATCGAGCCCCTCCGATCGAGCTTACTCGTCGGCGTCCGCGTCCTCGACGGCATCTCCGAGGCGTCCGCGGCGTCGACGGACGGCGTCCGCGAGAGCGCGCGGTGTGAAACAAAAGCAGCGCCCCGATTTCATGGTGATCGTTTTCTTATTCATTGCTTTGCTGATCGGCGCGGGCCCTCGTACCAAGGTGCCCGTGGCGCAGTCCGCATGCGTCTCCCTCACCCAGTACAGCTTTTCGTGGCCCCATAGGGGCTCCACCGAAGGTCCCCGTGGCGCAGTCCGCATGCATCTCCCTCACCCAGTACAGCGTTTCGTGGCCCACTAGGGAGCTCCACCGAAGGTCCCCGTGGCGCAGTCCGCATGCGTCTCCCTCACCCAGTACAGCGTTTCGGGGTCCCATAGGGGCTCCACCGAAGGTCCCCGTGGCACAGTCCGCATGCGTCTCCCTCACCCGGTACAGCGTTTCGTGGCCCCACGGGGAGCGCCGCCGAAGGTCCCCGTGGCGCAGTCCGCATGCGTCTCCCCCACCCAGTACAGCGTTTCGTGGCCCCACAAGGGGCTCCACCGAAGGTCCCCGTGGCGCAGTCCGCATGCGTCTCCCCCACCCAGTACAGCGTTTCGTGGCCCCATAGGGGCTCCACCGAAGGTCTCCGTGGCGCAGTCCGCATGCGTTTCCCCCACCCAGTACAGCGTTTCGTGGTCCCATAGGGGCTCCACCGAAGGTCCCCGTGGCGCAGTCCTCATGCGTCTCCCTCACCCAGTACAGCGTATCGTGGCCGCACGGGGAGCGCCGCCGAAGGTCCCCGTGGCGCAGTCCGCATGCGTTTCCCCATACCCAGTACAGCGTTTCGTGGCTCCACAGGGGCTCCACCGAAGGTCCCCGTGGCGCAGTCCGCATGCGTTTCTCCCACCCAATACAGCGTTTCGTGGCCCCATAGGGGCTCCACCGAAGGTCCCCGTGGCGCAGTCCGCATGCGTCTCCTTCACCCAGTACAGCGTTTCGTGGTCTCATAGGGGCTCCACCGAAGGTCCCCGTGGCGCAGTCCGTATGCGTCTCCTTCACCCAGTACAGTGTTTCGTGGCCCAATAGGGAGCTCCACCGAAGGTCCACGTGGCGCAGTCCGCATGCGTCTCCCCCACCCGTACAGCGTTTCGTGGCCCCATACGGAGCTCCACCGAAGGTCCCCGTGGCGCAGTCCGCATGCGTCTCCCCCACCCAGTACAGCGTTTCGTGGCCCCATAAGGGGCTCCACCGAAGGTCCCCGTGGCGCAGTCCGCATGCGTCTCCCTCACCCAGTACAGCGCTTCGTGGCCCCATAGGGGCTCCACCGAAGGTCCCCGTGGCGCAGTCCGCATGCGTCTCCCCCACCCAGTACAGCGTTTCGGGGTCCCATGGGGGCTCCACCGAAGGTCCCCGTTGCGCAGTCCGCATGCGTCTCCGCCACCCAGTACAGCGTTTCGTGGCCCCACGGGGAGCGCCGCCGAAGGTCCCCGTGGCGCAGTCCGCATGCGTCTCCCTCGCCCAGTACAGCGTTTCGTGGCCCCACAGGGGCTCCACCGAAGGTCCCCGTGGCGCAGTCCGCGTGCGTCTCCCCTACCCAGTACAGCGTTTCGTGGCCCCATAGGGGCTCCACCGAAGGTCCCCGTGGCGCAGTCCGCATGCGTTTCCCTCACCCAGTACAGCGTTTCGTGGTCCCATAGGGGCTCCACCGAAGATCCCCGTGGCGCAGTCCGTATGCGTCTCCTTCACCCAGTACAGCGTTTCGTGGCCCAATAGGGAGCTCCACCGAAGGTCCCCGTGGCGCAGTCCGCATGCGTCTCCCCCACCCAGTACAGCGTTTCGTGACCCCATAAGGGGCTCCACCGAAGGTCCCCGTGGCGCAGTCCGCATGCGTCTCCCTCACCCAGTACAGCGTGTCGTGGCCCACTAGGGAGCCCCACCGAAGGTCCCCGTGGCGCAGTCCGCATGCGTTTCCCTCACCCAGTACAGCGTTTCGTGGCCCCATAGGGAGCTCCACCGAAGGTCTCCGTGGCGCAGTCCGCACGCGTCTCCCCTACCCAGTACAGCGTGTCGTGGCCCCATAGGGAGCTCCACCGAAGGTCCCCGTGGCGCAGTCCGCATGCGTCTCCCCCACCAGTACACTTCCGTCGGAGGCCGTCGGAGTTCCGCGCCTCGCTTGCCCGTCGTCGCCCTGCCCAGCGGCAAGAGCCTTGCCCGCTATCAGCCAGCCAGCTAGCTCACTTTGCTCTGCGCAGCGGACGACCCGCGCGCGTCGCTGGGACCCCTCCGGGGCGACCTGCGCGCGTCGCGGGGACTCCGCGCTGCGCTGCGCCCGCAGCCTTTGACTTTTGAGTGCGCGGGCGAAGAGGGAGTAAAATAAGGGGAGGCAGCGGGCGCGATCCTCGCTGGGGGGCGCGCCGACATTGGCGTCGCGGCGCGCGGGCGGTGCCGTCGGGGAGTCCCGGGGAAGCTCTTGGCGGCGGCCACGCCCAGCGTCACGAGTACTCAGAGGCAGTCATTCTCAAACTATTGACATTCATATACAATGGCACCGTGCTTTGTTATACTCGCATTCATGCACGTAGACTCGCTCGCACGCAGATTCATTCACAGTCAGACGCACTCGCGCTCATATTCACCCGCGCTCACTCTCCCTACGTACTCAGATCAATCGTTTTCGTTCGCGTTGTGTACCACGCCACTCATGTCGGCACACCCCTAGCACGGTTCGTTGCCTCATAGGGATCACCACCGGAAAAGTGAATCACAATTGCGGTATTCACACCTGCATATGGTGGGGTCCTTCGTCAGGCTAATTTTTTGGCGCCTCTTTCAGGCAGCTGGAGTCTCCTCTACAGGACGCGCTGTGGCAAACAATCGCCTTAAGCAGAGGTCTGGAGCCAGACCCCCCCCCTTCCGCCAAATGTTGAAGCCCCGAATCAGAAAACGCTCACAGGGGCGGCGACGATGGCCGACGCCGCCGACCGGCCGAGCGGGTCCCCGAGCGGTCGACGGCACCCGCAGGGTTGGCTGCCCTGATGCCGCAGACCCCCGCGGGTCGTGAAACAATCACGGCGGACAGTTTTTCGTTATTTTCAGCCACTGGGGGCCCTCATCGGGCCTCTGGACAGCCAACAAACGACTCAGGATGAGAAGCTGGTCCCGGCGAGTGGGTCGGGACCTCAGGAGGTCGGCGTGGTGACAAAATCATGAAGTCCAGGGTCTGGGATGCCCGTGTTGCAACGCAGCACGTGCCGTGTTAGAGTTTTTTTTTGTGTGTCTACCCTCTGGGCCATAACGCGCGCTATGCCCCCCCAGTCTGTCACGGAGGGGGGCGCGGACGTTACATTATGCCCCCCCACCCTTCAAAACGTCCGTGCCAACACGCTGCGTGCTGGCCGGGCACGTGTCGGCCCACGCTCTGGCGAACGCGTCGCGCCAAACGCACGTGTTCAGTCCAGGGGTCGACCCAAACGGTGTTTTGTCGATTTCGTGGGCTGTTTTCGTTTCGACTACGTTTTGCAGCAAAGGCGCATTAGAGACAAAACGAGCGAAAGCGAAAACGAAAGCGAAAAACCATGTTTTGGTCGAGCCCTGGTTCAGTCTCAGGGGAACCAAGGATGACAGAATTCAGAACTTTCGGAGGTCCGCGCGAAGTTCTCGGATCGGCGCTGGACCTCCCTTTCTGGCGCGCGCAGCGCGCCGGGGACGGCGCCCGGAGGCGCCGCCAGGGGCCCCCAGCGCCGATCCGAGAAATCCGCGCGGACTTCCGTGTTTTTATTCAAGGGAGGAACAACCACCCGGACCGGAGAATTGGTGTTTACTAGACGGCCCTGGGCGTTTACTAAACAGCCCTGCCCTGCTCGATTCCTTCTTTGGGCGCGTTTACTAAACGGCCTCGCGTGTCGGGGTGGTTATTATCGGGGTGGATTTTCTGCCGTCTATTTAGGTCTATATGTCACTGCTTGTTCCCCGAGTTCGGTCTGCGTGCGGAGCTCTCCACGCCTCACGCACGACGCGCGGCGCGCCGCGCCTCGGGGCGGCCTCTGCCCCCCGAGAGGCCTCCGCGGCGCCGAGTTCCTGCGGCGGCTCCCTCGGCGGCTCGCGGCCCCCGTCGCCCGGGCCGGCCGGCGCGGCGCGCGCGGCGCAGAAGCAGGCGGGGCCCGCCGCCGCCCCTCCGAGCGCCAGCCGACGCCTCCGAGGCCGAGGAGGAGGAGGCCGAGGAGGAGGAGGAGGAGGCCGAGGAGGAGGAGGAGGAGGAGGAGGAGGAGGAGGAGGAGGAGGAGGAGGAGGAGGAGGAGGAGGTGGTGGAGGAGGAGGACCCCCTCCCCCTCCAACTTCTGGTGGTGATGGTGGACAACAGGCCCGTCACCCTGTCGTTGCCCCTGAAGTGTGCTGCGGAGCGCCCGCGGCCTGCGCGCGCGGGGGCGTCCGGGCGGCGGGCCGCTTCGCGGCGAGGGCGGCGCGGCGCGCCTCGGCAGGCGGTGGATGTGGACAGATTCGGGTCCCCGGGAGCCGAATCTGTATCCATATCCACCGCCCGCTGGGGCGCCAGGACGTCGGTTCCCAGGCGGTGGAATCGGAGAAATCTGCGCCTCGCAACGCCGAGGGTCCGAGGGAAGACGCGCGCGGACCAGGAGCAGCGCAGTCGGGCCGGGGTGTGTGTCGATGAATAATAATAATACTACTAATAATAATATTAAGAATCATCATAATCATAATAATAATAATCATAATAAGAGTAAGAACAATAATAATACTACTAATAAGAATAATACTAATAATAATAATAATACTAATAATAATAATGATAATCATAATACTAATAATACTAACAATAATAATAATAGTAATAATGAAAATAATAATACTAAGAAGAAGAACAATAATAATAACAATAATATTCAGAAGAAGAAGACGAATACTAATAATAAGAATAATAGTAATGATAAGAAGAAGAAGCATACTAATAATAATAATACTAATAATGATACTACTAATAATAATAACGGCACAAAGACGAGCTTTTGGCGCTCCCGAGGGGGGTCCAGCGCAGATCTAAGAGAACTCCGCGCGGAGCGCCAACAGTTCATGTTGATGCCTTTTTCGACTCTTCTATATATATATATACACATATAAAAAAAGATCGAGTTTGGTTCGGGGAGGGTGCCCTGCTCCGTGCCTGTCGGATGCTCTTGTGCATCCTGGGGAGGGTACCTTGGGATGTGCTGTGTGCTGTGGCCTGCGAAGGGTCTCGTGTTCTCGAAGGATGTTATTCTGGCCTGGGCCCGCCTGGTTTCGGTGGCGAGCCTGGGGGGGAAGTGAGAAAGGGCGGGCCTTTTTCCGAAGGCTTGGAAGCCCCAGGGACTTCTGAGCAGTTGTCCAAGGCTTCTCCGAAGGAGCAGAACTTTTCAGAAGGCCGGATGGCTTCCGAGAAGCCCCGCCGCCTTCCGAGAAGGCCCGTCCCCTCTCACTTCTCCCTGGGCGTGCTGCCAGAGTGCGTACTGGGCCTCCCCAGCGAGCGACGCAGACTAACGGGGTCGTCTTCGCCGACACTGGTGCGTAAGCTTCCCGCGGAAGGTCGCGCGAAGACGCCCTCGCTTCCAGGTGTGGAGTGCCGCGCTGGCGGCCCGCGTCAGCTGCGATGTGAGGTCGCTGTGTCATCTCGCGTAAGACTCGTTTCCTTTCGTACAGTCGGCCACGGATTAGTAGGTCGACCCTGCCAAATCAAGAGTACCCTTGTGTCCTGTATCTCGCGACCCATGCCTCCTACATCATTATGGCAATGTGGCCCTTGGAAGGGTCTTGTGTCTTCTCGCGCGTCCTGTCCAATCAAGTCCGACTGTCGTTCAGATGGGGTCCGAGTAGAGCGGGTCGGGGGATCGCGTCGCAGCGCCGATATATTGCCGACGCATCGCCGATGCGGCTCGATGTGGAGCCCGACTTTCTCCACGCCGACGTCGCCGCCGATGCATCGCCGCCGTCGCCGATGCAACGCCGATGCATCGCCGATGCATCGCCGATGCATCGCCGATGCGTCGGCGATGCGGCGCGATTTCCCGACACCATCCACTCGGACCCAATCTAAGAGGCCTCCACAAGGCCTCTATACGTTCAGCTAGTACAGTCAAGACGCTGAAATAAGGACCGCCTTGGGATCAGGAAGGGCTCGGGCTTTCGGCCGCTCTTAAGATTTACGCCGAGGAACCTGTTTGCAGCCTGCTGCGGTAGATTGGGCGACAGACTCTCAATCCACCGCAGCAGGCGGCAATTAGAGGGAACTGGGGGCAGGTGGCTGGCCCATCGCGAACGGAGCTCCATGTGCAGATCAAGGGTGGTACCACGGCAGATCCTGACGCCTGGCTCACCACTTGGGCTTCCAAGGTAGAGGAGTGGACTGACCTCCAGCATGCGGCCCAGTCGCTGGGTGCACGGCCATCTTGCCACTCTGACGCCGATCCCGAACTCTTTCGGCAAGTGGGATAGGGGCTGCGTGATCGTAACCGCGTCCTCGGAGGAGACTACCCTGTTGGCGTCCAGCCTCAACGACTGCTGCATCCCAGGCGCTGGGGGCACCACGCGCGTCGGAGTGGGGCCCAGGCATGAGCACACGCACCTGCCGACCTCGCCGTCTCGGAACGTGCACGGCTTGCGGGGGCATCGCCGGAGCGCGGGGCGGGCTGCCTGCGCTCCACGGGCGTGGCCGACAGCCCGTGGGACGTTCCTCAAGTCTGCCGCTCTGGGCCTGAGGATCATGGCACTGAGCGCGATCGCCACGAGCTTTGGGGGTGGGTACCCGCGATCCTTGCGGGGAGTGCAATTGCTTGCGTTAGTTTGATCAATCCCCCCAGGGCCGACGGGCTCTGGGGCCCGACGGACGTTCTTCCCAGCCGGCAGGAACTGGGAGAAGGAGGCGGAGGAGGAGGAGGAGGAGGAGGAGGAGGAGGAGGAGGAGGAGGGGGGGGGGGAGGAGGAGGAGGAGGAGGGAGGAGGAGGAGGAGGAGGAGGAGGAGGAGGAGGAGGAGGAGGAGGAGGAGGAGGAGGAGGAGGAGGAGGAGGAGGCGTCCTTCGCAATTGTTTCGGCCCCTGGAGGCCCGCTTCTGGTCCGTGGAGGCCGCCAGAGGCTCATCCATAGGGAAACATATTGTAGCCAGGACGGGCACTCTGGGAGAGGTCCTTGGGCTGCTCTCGAGCGGTGTCTGGTGGGGAGGAGGAGGTTCGAGGACAGTGCCAAAGACCAATGCAAAGCAACGCCAAGCAACGCCAACCAAAGCAGGCCAACGCCAAGCATGCTCAGTTGCCCACTTAGGAAGCTTTCCCTTGTTTTGGGTCGCGCCAGGTTCATTTCAGTAGCTCGGTGCTCGGGGACTCCGTCCTCCGTCCTCTCGACTGTGTTTGAGTTGCTGTCTTTTCTTATCTTGCATCTGCGCTCACTTGGCATCGCTCGGACGTGTGCAATTTTCTCGGTGAGAACTGTCGAGGAGCATCCTCGACCATCGGGCCAAACAAACACGCACGACAATGGACGCCCGAGCGATGGCAAGCTCGAGACCTGGTCTTCCGTAGCCATTCTGGCCAAACTCATTTCTGCCATAGGTGTGTGGCACCTGCGGGCGAGCGTGCCTCCACCCCACGGCTGGACGACGCCAGCCATGCACCAGGCCTGCTCGATGCACGCTTCCGCGCATGCTGGCAGGTGCGGCAGCCTTCACCGAGCTGGCCTGGTACAGGGCTGGCGCAGCCAGGTTCTGACAGCTAGACATGGCGGCCGCTCCCAGCTGCGCGCAGAACGAGGTCGGGCTCATCTCGGCGGCGAGCGAGGGGGGGGGGGTAGTGAGAAGGAGAAGGCCTTCCCAGAAGCTTCGGAAGTCCCCAGGCCTTCCCGGAAGTCTTCTCGGCCTTCCCCGAAGACAGACAGAACTGCTCAGAGGGCGCGAGGGCTTCCGCGAGAAGTCCCGCCGCCTTCTGAGAAGGCCTTCTTTCGGATGCAACTCCTGGGAGGTCAAATTCTGATTTGGCCCTGGTCCGAAATCCGGCTTAATCTGGCTTAATCCCGCTTAATCCGGCTTAATCCCGCTTCATCCCGCACAATCCGGCTCAATCCCGCTTGATGCGAGGCCCACTCTGGCTTTACAGCGCCCCAATGGGGCTTAATCTTGTTTAATCTTTCCGACGAGAACCTCCCAGTAGTTGCCTCCTAGCCTTCTCCTCACTTCCCTCAGGAGGGAAAAAACACACAGACACAATTCATCGTCGATTATCCAGAAAATATAGGAAAAAATTGGAAGTGGAGGGGAAAACAAAAACCGAGAGACTATGGGAAATATAGGAATCCTGTTATTTGTGTCTATTTATCTGTGCGTCGCTCGCCGCCGATCATCGGATCCGCGCCCGCGGCGCCCCTCGTGCGGCCCCCTCCGTCGGGCGGCCCGAGCGCGCCCGCCGCGGCGGCGGCCCGCAGGAGGGCGTACGGGCCGCGCCGCGCACGCCAGGAGGAGGCGGGGCGGCCGTGCCAGGCGCGCCAGGCGGGCCGAGCCGTGCAGGAGGCCGTGCCATCGAATAGCACAGGGAGCCGAACTCCATACCCCGACGCCCTTTGACTGGCCTGAGCCGAATCTCGCGCAGGAAAGCGGATCCTGGTGTATGCGGGATCCTGGTGTATACATTCTTCGCTGCTTCCCCAGGGAAGCGTGGACAAAAAAGTATACACCACACCACCCCGACGTCGTCCCCGACCCTCCAAAAAAGTCCGGGGATTAAGACACCGCCCGCCACTGGTAATGTGTGTATGCTCCAGTTTCCGACGAGAGGCGGCCGGCGTCGGCACAGACACACAGTGGAGGCCCACGCCAATGAAGCCCCCCCTGCTCGCCTGCAGGGTGCCCCGGGTTCCTGGGGCCTCGATGGTCCCGCCGTGGAAGGCGCGATGGCCTTGCTGCGGAAGGCGTGGCGTTCCCACACCAAACATCCATGCACGTCCTGGGGTCTCGGGGTGGGGTTGCTGGTGGAAGGTTTCTCGTGGACTGGCCTCCACTGTGCACTTTCGGAGGTTCGCGCGCATGTCCAGGGTCGGCGCTGGACCCCCGGGCAGCAGGCCCCGGCGCCGCGGGCTGGGGGAGGGGACTCGGCGCCGGCCCAAGAGATCCGCACCGCCCTCCGAGCGGTGATGCTCATGAGGAGGAGGAGGAGGAGGAGGAGGAGGAGGAGGAGGAGGAGGAGGAGGAGGAGGAGGAGGAGGAGGAGGAGGAGGAGGAGGGTTCTGTCCAAGAGGGCGTGCAGGCCGAGCCGTGCAAGCCGACGCACAGCTCCACCGCCTGCATCCTGGCCCCAGCTCGGCGGCGCGCCCGAGGGGGGAAGGCAGAGCGGGCGGGCCTGCTCGGAAGGCTTCCGGAGGCCTCCGGCCTTCTGAGAAGCTTTCTAGTTCTAGGCCTTGCCAGAACCCGCGAGGAGCTTCTCAGAAGGCTGGAGGGGAGGGCTTCCGAGAAGCACCGCCGCCCTCTCGGAAGGCCTGCCTTAGGGCTCGAGCGAAGCGGTGTTCTGGCGACTTCGTGGGCCGTTCTCGCTTCGATGTCGCTTCGCAGCAGAGGCACAGCGGAGACGGAACGAAGGACAACGAAAGCAACACGAAAGCGAGGAGCACTCTGTAGCTCGAGCCCTGGCCCGCCCCCTCTCGAGCTCCCCCCTCGGCGAGCCGCCGACCAGCGGCAGCCTCCCAGGGCCACCGCGGCACCCGGGCGGCGCCCACGACGCCGGCGGAGGCGCCCGCGGAGGGGCTGCCGGCGGAGGCGCCGCCCGCCGTCGTGGCCCGGGCGCCGGTCCCAGAGGGCAGCGGGAGCTAGACATGAGGCGTTCCAGAAAGGGCCCTGCCGATGGAGGCTCCGAGTTGCGATGCATCCCAGGCGAAGCCAAGATTCGGCTCCAGGAGCAGCTCCGGGGCCCCTTGAAGAGAGCCTAGCACATCTCAAGTGTGCACTGGCGTCAGCCCGGTCTTCTTCTTCTATCACTCCCTTCCTTTCCCTTATCTGGGGCCGGGGCGAAAGGGAGGGATTGGGAAAGGGGGGGGTTCGACATTTGCTGCATGCAGCTGGTTTCGGCCCCACCGAGGGGCCCATTCCTCGATACATAGCCGCCTCCGGCGCCAGGAGGCGCCGGGAAAATCAGCTACGTGGATTGGCGCTGGGCCCCCCCCGGCGGCGCCTCCGGCGCCGCACCTGGCGCGCTCCGCGCGCAAGGGAGAGGAGTCAAGTGCGGATCCAAGAAATCCGCGCGGAACGCCGGAAGTTTCTGTTTATGCATTTTTTCTTTTTGCCTTCGCGGATCGAAGGAGTTGCCATCTCTTCCTCGGCGGAAGGCGGCGGAAGGCCGGTTACAAGGCGACGGAAGTATAACGGAGGCGATTCCGCCTGCGGAAGCCGGCTGAAGCAAAAGTCGACCCCCCAAGAGATGACAGCATTTTGGGGTTCATGGTTTCCAGACTCGGCCACGTGTCCGCTGCCCGAGGCCTGGCCCACGCTGGGCGCACGAGCGGTGTATACATGCATCTCCGGCCAAGCCAGGGCGGCGTAGGCATCGCTCCTGGGCCCAGGATGGGCCCCAGCCTGGGCAGTGGGTACTATATGTATAGAATTCGCCACCGTAGGTCCAGGCGGTCGCCACGGCCGTTGCGCCGAAGGGTGCCGCGGCTGCGCTGCCGGCAGTGCTCGGGGGCAACGCCAGGGGGTGATCGGGCTGAGATGGGGGATGCGGCACGCGTCGACCCCCAATCGCCCATTCGTCGCCGAGATGGGGCCGAATGGCCCCACCCCGCCCAGGAGCGCGTGGATTCGCTCTCTGGGGCCTACAGTCAGCATGGGTAGTGCGGATGAGCGGCTTTCCAAGGTTACCCTTGCATCCCTGCCCCTTCGGCCCAGCCTTGGCACCTTTCGATTCGGTTTTCGGCCGCTCCTCGTCCGAACAACGTCAACATGGCCTTCCAAGGCCCTTGCATCCTGAACATCCTTACTATACGCGTTGACTGCATCGCCAGTCTATCGGCGACGTATCGCCGATTCCGGTTCGATCTTTCGCCCCCCGGCGCTGGTCCCCTCCTAGCGTTGCCCGCCAGGTGCCCCCCGCCGTCGTGGCGCGGACACTGGTCCAGGCCGGACGGCACCTTGGTCTGCTTTTTTTAGTTTTCCCGGTGCCGGAGGAGTAAAGCCATCGACTACACGTAAGAGTGACATTTCGCCAGAGTGACCTTTGGTGACCCGCTGGAAGCAATGCGATAGCAGTGGCTTGCACGCTCGGGTTTGCCCTCCCCCGCGCCCCCATAAAGCCGTGCAAAAGAGGTCACTCGTAGCCGAAGGTACCGATACCACTGTCCTCTCCTCGTTGCCACTGTTGGATTCGCTGCGCATTCCTGGTCAGAACGCGCCCTGGGAGAGGTCTGGGGAGTAGGGGTAAATCAGTACCTTTTGGTTCCCCCAGGTGCTCTGCCGAGTTCCCGCTGACCCTGATCGGCTGCTCCCAGGCCTCGGGAGGTGCCTTGGGGGCCTTCTTCCTCAGCTCGCTTGCGGGCTCGGTGGGCTTGTTGCTCTCGGGGGCAAGCGGCAGGTCGCGGGCTCGGGGGCGCATCAGGCCGCGCTCGAGGCTGAGGCTGGTGAGCCGCCTGAGGTCAAAGGAGGTGCCTGCGGCTGCGCCTCCTCCACTGCCGCTGGTGACAGTGACAGTGACAGTGACAGCAGCGCCACCGCGTCGGTGGAGTGAGGCATCTGCAGGAGCGTGGACTCGGAGGTTGACTGAACCCCCACGGGTTGCCCCTTGTCGGTTCTCGAGAGGATGTTGAACCCGCAATTGTTGCGGGCCTGCGCCCACCAGATTTGGCCCCAGGTTGTTTTCACTGACGGGGGTTTTGCTGAAGAGGGTTCTGTCCACCCCCGAGGCGTCGGACCGACGCTGCTGGGTGCTGTGGGACGTTCCCTGGACTGAGCTGCCTCGATACGCCCGTCTTGAAACGCAACATGTACCGTGCTGAAAACGTCCATGCCAATACGTTGCGCGTAGGCTCAGCGAATTGGCCCACGCTCTCGCGAACGTATCGCGTCATACCTACGTCTTCGGTCTACGTGTTAAGCTCCGCATCAATACGCTACAGTCTGACCGAGGTATCAGATCGAGGTCGGTTCGGGGAGGGTACCCTAGTGTTCTTCGTGCTTGTTGGGTGCTCTTGTGCATCCCCGGGATGTTCTGCGCGTTGTGGCCAGCGGAGGGTCTCGTGTGCTTGAGTGATGTTCTTCTGCCCCAGGTCCGGCTGCACGTGTTGCGTGTTGCGTATCGGGGCCGCTCAGTCCCTGTGGGGGGTTGCTAAAAGGTGCCCCTGGCCCAGGGTGCCCTCAGCGTTCCGCTCCACTTTGGAGCCTGGGGCCCCCGGGACCTCGTGAGGGGTGGGGTGCTCTGCGGGCCGTGGGGGCCTCCCTGGAGATCCTGGGGGCACCTTTGGGCCAGCGGCACTTCTGGCAGCACCCGACCCTGCAGATCTCCCCAGCGAGCCCCCGCCGCACCCGCACAAGCTGGGGGGGGCCGGGGGCTGCCCGAGGCTCGAGGAGCAGCGCTCTCCCGGGGAGCACGGCCAGAGGGCTGCCCGAGGGCGCGCCGCCCCGGGCTTCTCCTCGCCGCCAAGGGCAGCTCGCGGGAGGCTCTCGTCCCGCGACCTTTTTCTCTTTTTTGCTGCCCTGGCCCTCGCGCTGATGGGGGTTTCCCGTGGAAGCCGGCAGCTTTGTTCCTGCGATCGAAGACGGGATAACGGCATGGACATACACTCTTGGCGTTCCTCGCAGACTTCTTGGATCTGCGCTGGGACCCCCTGGCGGCGCCTCTGGCGCCGCCCCTGGCGCGCCCCGCGCGCCAGGAAGGGGGGTTCAGCGCAGATCCAAGAAATCCGCGCGGAGCGTCGAAAGCTTATGCTTATGCCGTTGTTTGTTCCTCGATGCGAGGCCGTCCATGCAGCCTCTCGGCTTGCATACGTGCTTGCACGCCTCGGCGCACGTGTAGGGGTGCCCCAGCGAGCCCTTTGATGGGAGCAAGCCGTCCCCGACACATGGATCGGCGGCGAGCGAGGGGGGGGAAGTGAGAAGGTGAAGGCCTTCTCAGACGGCAGCGGGGCTTCCCAGAAGCCCTCGCGCCTTCTGAGAGGTTGTCGGCGTCTTCGGGGAGGGCCTGGAAAACTTCTCAGAAGGCCGGGGGGGCCTCCCGAGCCCTCTGAGAATGCCTTCTCCCTCCTTCTTACCCCCCCTCGCACGCCGCCGATCCTGGGTGGGGTTCTGGGTCGGTCCCGGGCTTCGATCAGGGCTCGGCTCGCGCACGACGGTGTGGTGCAGGGGGCGGATGCACGCCGCCCTGCCGCGCTGGCTTAAGTCGGGCCTGTCCCTCTACAGGGGGAACATTCAAAAATAGTCAAAACATAGTCTGGGGACTATTTTTGGAATATTTCTGGGCATCTTCTGAATATTTTTGGAGTATTTTTCATTTTTCGTTTAACATCCCCCTGCAGGCGGACACGCCCGGCTTGAAGCGTTGGCGTGGTTCGCAGTGGTTCTGGCCGTCTGTCCTTGGCGCTCCAGATGCCATCCGTCTGCCTTAGGATTTTTCGCGGCGCCGGGGGGGGGCCCGGCCCGCGCCCGCCCTTCGAGCCCAGCGTCTGGGCCACTTTTCTCGACCCTGCCCCTGCAGTCTCTCGTGCACCTGAGCACTGCAGCTGCGCGTGGTTCGAAGAGCGCCTCCACTGCTCCGCTCGGTCCGAGCACACGCGGAGGGGGGTCGGAGCGTCGCCGCCGCCTCGCCGCCGCCTCGCCGCGGCGCGGCTCCCCACGGAGCGCGAGGCCCTCCACGCCCGCGGCGCAGCTGCATCGCCGACGCCGCCGGTGCATCGCCGACGCGGCGCGGTCCTTCGACCCCACCCGCTCGGATCCCCTCCCCGGGGGGTCCTCGGGCCGAGGAGGGCGGGAGGCGGGCGGCGCCGGGAGCACACCCTCGGGACGACGGCGGCGAGGGGGGGCGGGCCCCGCGGTGCAGCGGGGGCGAGGGCGCGGGAGGGCGGAGGAGGCGCGCTGCAGCGGGGGCGCGGGAGGGCCGCGCCCGCTCCCGGCGTCCAGGTTTCTGCCGGCATCTCGAGCCGCTCCCCGACGGCCCTCGGGGCCGTGACGTTTGCGGCCCCCGCGGGCCCAGGACTGGGAAGGGCCTCCCCGCCGCAGGCCCCCGCGCCGGGACCTTGCCGCGGTGTGGGCCCCTCGAGGTCTCGCCCAGTCTCGGCGGCCAGCTTTCCCCCCGCCCCGGGCCGCTCTTTTGCAGCGGTCCGGGGACCCGGCGGGGTCCCCCGGAGGCCGCACACGGCGAGAAGCCTCGGACGGCATTTTTGCAGCACGCGGGGAGCGAGACAAGGGCTTCCTCCGTGGGGGATGGGGGGCGAGACGGAGGGCGCCTCGGTCCACCATGGTATGGGGTCTGGGTCTGGGGGCAACATGCACAAGTTTGACTCTGGGCTGACTCCTGGCAGCTGTCTTGGACGCAGAGGGCCGATTGGTACTGATCTGACTGCTTTGCGAGATGCTCGCTTTCACCATGGGACCGCTGGACTACCTTTCAAGAAGGCTGCGCCAGCGAAGCTTCCGGCGACAGTGGGGAACAGGCAGGGTCTGGGGGCTTCCTCCCCCTCAAATCGGAGGGCACCAACTATAAACCAACACCGATCCTGGCCCAGGATCACCCTGGGCCCAGGATCGGTGTATATGCCTTCTTGCGCAAGGCAGGAGGGCGTATACACCGATCCTGGGCCCAGGGTGATCCTGGGCCAGGATCGGTGTTGGTGTATAGTTGGTGCCTTCCTATCAAAACCACTCCCATGGACCTCTCCAGGCATGCGTCTCAGCCAGAGCCTCGAGGGGAGTCCGGTCGTGGCGAGCCGAGGCCTCCTGGAGCCCCAGAGGGCGAAGCGCATCCCCCTCCAAACTTTGATGTTCGAGCCTCGCGCGTCGATCCTCCCTCCCGTCCCTCTCCCTCCCCTCCCCTCCCTCCAATCGCAACGACACAATTTGAATACTATTCTCCTCTGTCCCCTGATGACGTCTGGAAGATATCCGGTGCCCCTTCCGCGTATTGTTTTTTTAGACACAAGATTCACGGGAAATGGGTTTTCATGTTTTTCCGTTTGTTGTTGTTGGTTTTCTTTTTCTTTTTTTAGCAATGCTCCCGCTGAAGCGCTGGCCCCATTTCTGCGCCTCTGGTTGCTCCAAATCGTGGTCCCGCTGCAGCGCGGGCGTTTTTTGGGTCCTTCCAGGTAGGCCCCAAAATCTAGAAAATGCCCCCCCCCCCCCCCCATGCAAAAAAAACATCAGAAGTGGTTACACATTCGGTGTCGGTTCGTTGATTTTTCGGGGCGCAGAAGCCCCCCCCACTTTGGGGCGTCGTCGTCTTCAGGAAGTATCAAGCGGGAGCCTCGTTCAGCGGGTGCTCTTCATCAGCCCCGCCTTGTGTGGAGCTCGCCGGGGAGCCGACATGGAGCCACGACTCCAGACTGGCCCAGACCTCTCGAAGACGATCCACTTACCCTCCAAGGAACCCAGCGCCATGCCATGCTATGCTGTGCGGTGTTGCGTTCTGCGCCGCTGTGCGATGCCAGCCTTGGCGTTGCAATGCTTTGTGATGCAATGCTTCACTGCGCAATGCCACGCCATGCTATGGCATACTACGCTCTGCCGTGCTCTACGCCATGCCATGCCGTGCTCTACCATGCATCGCGTACCCTCTCGCGATCATTGCCCTGCTCGACAACCGACTGTGCGAATAGAGAGGATATCTGCTCCATGGTGAGAAATGGGAAGGAGGGGGAGGACGTCAGATATGAAGTTCGCGCACCTGGCTTGCTCCTCTCCCCTCTCCCTCCTTCCCTTCCCTCCTTCTCTCCCTCCCTCCCCTCTCTCCTTCCCTCCCTCCTCTCACTCTGCTCTCCCCTCCCTCTCTCCGACGAAAAACTGCGATCTGTAATGGCTCAAGCCATTTCGGTTCGAGTTTTCCGGAGCCTTTGATGCCTTCGCTGAAGGTTCGTAGGCGGAAACATCTCATCATAAGACGAGTCTCATAACATTCGTCCTCGATCCTCGATGGTCAAAAGCATAATTTCGCAGGCTGGATCGGCACGAGGAGGAGGAGGAGGAGGAGGAGGAGGAGGAGGAGGAGGAGGAGGAACAAGAGGAACAAGAGGAACAAGAGAAGGAGGAGGAGGAGGAGGAGGAGGAGGAGGAGGAGGAGGAGGAAGATGATGATGATGATGATGATGA